TAAAATGATAATTCAATTAATAAACCTTATTCCGAAAAATAGCTTCTTCAATAAATATGGAAGTAAATAGCAAAGTACCTTCGATTTTCAATTTTCTCGCAATTTTCATATATTTTAGAGTATATGTCTTGAATTAAAATGATAATTCAATTGATAAACGTTATTTTGAGAAATAGTTTCTTTAATAAATTTGGAAACAAATTTAGCAAAGTATCTTCGATTTTCAATTTCCTCCAATTTTCGTATATTTTAATATGTCTTGAATTAAAATAATAATTCAATTAATAAGTGCTATTTTGAGAAATAGTTTTCCGATAAATTCTGAAACAAATTAGCAATGTACGATTTTCGATTTTCAATTTTCTTTTATTTTCGTGTGTGTGTGTGTGTGTGTGTATTATAAAGTAAAAATATAGTTCAAATTAAATAAGAATCTATTTACTCGCATTTACGTCCTAGGTAAAAATTTTCTCAACGAAGAATAAAAGGGGAAAAAGATTTACGCAGCAAGTGCCTTTGAAACGTCAATAACGTCCTACAGTGATAAATAGTCACATAGTTACGGATTAATTGCCGTAATAGGAGAACGCGGAAAGTTGACAGGTCACTGTATCACGGTCGCTCTTATTTACATAGAGATTAAATACTCTCTTGGCTCCCATTGCGAGCTATCCTCACGGCCGAGCTGCGACCTCGCACAACTTAACTTGTTTTCGTTCGGGATAGGTCTAACATCAGTTTCACAAATTAAGAAACGTCATGTAATATGATCGAACGTGCATCAATCTTCCCGGAAAATGTAATTTCGAAAGGTTTATATCCATTTTTGTCACTGCAGATTAACTTTAATCTCGGTTTAATTTACTTTTTATCCCTTTCTCGCATTTTCACAACTAAAAATAGTAAGTTAAACTGAGATTAAAGTTAATCTACAATGGTAGGAATGGACATTAGGCGTCTTATTTGACTGCGATTCGTAAATCATGTACTTGTTTTTTTTTTTTTTATATTATATTATAATATTTGGTAATAGCCGCACATGGGAATTATTCTGATTAAAAAGTGACATAATTTAAAGTGTCAAGTGACAATTGAAAGTGTCAAGAGATAAATAACTATTAAAAAAGGCTTAAAAAAGAAATTTTGACAAAATAAAAAATGTGGATAGATAAAGAATCTTATCTTCCAGTTAACGTCTGGCTGATTTTATTTCAACAAAATGAGAATTTAACGATAACAATAAAAATAACTTAATAGAACAATTGACTTAAGTTACAATTATACTCAAATGCTATTAAAAGTTAAAAATCTGTCAAAAAACATTGCGGAGAATTATCGTTTTCAAAGATCCAAGATACCTTGTATCGTGTTTACTATTTTCCGGAATCTATAAATTTTCTAGGATGCAATTAAGTAACATGATCTTACTGCTCCATTTGAATTAGAATCTTATTTCCTCATTTGGCAGCAAATTTTTATTTTTTCAATAAAAATTTTATTACCAAGGTTTTAGTTACAAAAAATTTCATCAAATTTACAAAAAGATTCAGCCTCAAATCGATTCAGGAATCCGTTATTCAGATATCTATTCGATGAAATGTATATGCATGAAATAAAAATTGCATTTTTTCCATATTCTTCAAAATTCTACACAATTCAAACACCTTTTTATGTTTCCGTCCTATTGCATATTTTCATCTGAAAATTTAGTTCTCCTTACTAAAACCTCACTTTTTGAAAAATTTAAATTTTATTTAACGAAAGAGAGACATATCTAGCATAATTTTAGATAAGAAATCTAAGTAAAAGCATTAACGCGCGCATCGTTATCAAAAAATTTGCAATAATTACTCAAACTGCAACAAAGTAATACTCTTATCAAACAGTGCTTTGTCATTACGGAATATTCCTGTCCTTATATATTCTTTTTGAGAATTTTAAAATTTTACATTATTCATGCGTTATGTTTTTATTTCGATGCCATTTTTGCGACTTCTATCCGTCGATAGAATTCTATTAATGGGCGATGTATGAGAAATGTAAAACTATAAAAATAACGAGAAGAATATGTAATACAACCGAAATATTTCTCTTCTCGGTATCTTGAATGCTATATATTTAGTCCGAGACTCAATTATCGAAGCACGTAAAGAACATTTCATCAAAATTTAAGGAAACCTCGGCATTCCGCCTCTGTGTATAGGTACTGTGTAAGTTTTACGATATACAATAAAAGAGAAAAAAATAAGCGGGACAATAAAAGTCGGCAATGATTACGCTGATTGCGTAAACAAAAATGTAATTAAATTAAACAAAAGTCGAAATAAGAGAACGTCAACACAAGGAAACAAAATAAAAAAGATACGCAAATCAAGAAAAAATTCATATAGTCATAGAATGCAAAAGTATTTAAATATCGAACGTCAAAATAAAGTTAAATTTATAAAAATTTATCGAAAGTATTGTACAAGTTTCTCTATTTATCCGCATCCTTTTAATTCATCAAAACTCTCTTTCCAACCGCGCGATCGTAGTTTTTACACACTCGTGGAATTACTTCAATTTTCGTGAATATTCATATCGCGCCACGCGCGATGCGGTTATCGCCAACATTCTGACGTAATCTACACGTAAAAAAATATCCATACCTGGCCGCATTGACCTTCGCAAGAAGAGGCAAGTGCCATTAACGAGGAGGAAGAAGATCCTGGTGATGTTACGCGGAAAAGAAATCCCCGATCAGATACTGGATACGGTTCGCAAATTGCTCGCCAATTATCCCGCGGTTCTCTCTCTCTCTCTCTCTCTCTCGTAGACCGTCTCGAGATGGATCGATCTATACGGTGCGAACGCACGCGTTTCCGTCGAGCCGCGCGCGCGTTACGCCGCGATGCATCACGAGCGGAGGAGCGGAGTGTAACGATGATACTAACGATCTCGCGGGCGAGAACGAAGAAGGAAACGATTCTCGAGCTCTCCGGATATACGGTTTTTCGGAATCTTTCCGCGCGCGTCAACGAGCGAGCGAGAGAGGTTCAAATCCTCCAGATGGACGGATCTCCAAGCGGAACGAAGAGTCATGCGATATCAGATCGAAACGACAAAGTGATCTTGATCTTTAAATGAATAAAGTCAAGATGACGTCAGCATGATGTCATTAATCATTATTCACGTTCCATCTGGGATTCGAACGCCTTCGATCCTCGGCATCGCGCAAAGCCCGTGCTCGTAACGAGGTATACATAAAACGCGTCAAATCGCGGAGACGAGATGAAAAAGTCTCGAGTTAGGGCTCAGACACGATGAGAAAAATAAGGAATAAGATAAAGGAGTAAGGAATAAGGAAATGTCGCATCTCACTTCAGTACACGTAGTACATTAAAGTGAGATGCAACATGCCTTATTCCTTATTCCTTTATCTTATTCCTTATTTTTTTCATTGTGTCTGAGCCCTTATCGTGTTCAGCAGATATCAGTCGTCACGACAACGACGGCGGCGGCGGCGGACAGGAAAGCCGAGCGGCGAACTCGGATTTTCTTTCTAATCCCCGACGTGTCGGCTCGGCAGGACGAAATTAAATATCCCCGGTGAAAGGACGCGGTCCCCTCTGGGACAGTCGCTTTGTCGACAACACACACACACGCGTGAACAGCTGACGAAAATAACAAACGCGACGCGCGTCTGCAGATCGGCCTCCGAACGTCACCGAAAATCACCTTCGCTCTCTCTCTCCGGAGGATCGTTTAATTACTCACCGACTTCTCTCGCGACGGCCAGGCTCGCCGGAGTGCGACGATACTCGGAGTACTCGGACAACGCGATCGGGATTCGGGAAACGTGTGACGTATCGTCGGGCGCTCGGTGAACGACTGTCTACTAGCGATCGGGACGGGAGCCGGCTTCGATCACGGCGGACAAGGCACTCTCGGCGTGCGTAAACACGACACCTGCCGCGGACGCGGGGACAAAGGCGAGCCGGAGCGGTCGGGCGTCGCGCCGTGCCGCGCCGTTTTCTCCAGATCGCCGCCGGACGCCGGATCGGACCGTGGGCGGGCGGGCGGGCGAGCGGGAGGGAGAGGAGCGGAGGGAAACGGAGCTGGACCGACGATGTCGAGCCAGGCCGAGTCGGGAGAATCAAAGGAGCGTGCATACTATACATGCATCAAAAACTCCACTCACCTAACCTTCCGGCGTGACGGCCCTGCGGCCGGTTTGCGCGGCGCCGCGCGTCGTCTCGTCCCTGCAGACTTGCGGCACGCAGCGGCGACGGCGGCGGCAGGCGAGGAGGACGCGCGTCCTTGCACGCGCGCGATGCGAGATGCACGGTATAGGGGAGCACGCACGAGTTACGCGACGGCGGAGGCATCAATGGATAGTAGGAGAGACGCGTGAGCTAACGGTACGTCTTGGCCATGTCGGGAGAGGAGCGAAAGGGAGTGGGAGGGAGGAAAGCGGTGAAAGAGAGCGAGAGGACCGCGAGAGTGGGGAGGGAGACGCGGACGCGACGCGCGCGCGCGCGCGCTCTCACTCGCCGCACCGTGGCCGCACCGTGGTCGACGAGATGAGGGAGATCACTCCGATACTCGACACTCCGTTCCGTGGCTCACCCGCCAGCGATCGCGACGACTCTTCGACGACATGTAACGCGCGACACGGCGAAGAAACGAGTTGTCTCTCTCATTCTTCTACTCTTTCTCTCTTCCACACGTAAATTGCGCGAACCACACGCGCACCAACGCGCACCGTAGCTGTACTGCCTGTAGTGCCTGTACTCCGTACTTTGCCGCCGAAAATGTATCGGTAGTGCTATCGCGCGGCCGCCAATGGAAACTGCGAAAACGTGTTTTCGACCTGTCAATGAATCAATCGATAACGCAGTAATTTATCCAATGAGTCATTGATCATTATCGACGCAGCGAGTAAATCAAACCGATAAATCAGGCCGCTTCCGTGACCCAGCGAATTAACGCGCTGCTACAATTTAGTTCTCATCTTATTGCAGGTGGCAGTAAAATGCAGAAATTATTGCCGTAATTGACAGCTCACAGCTGAACAGCTCCCGATTTTTTTTCGTTCGGCGACTCGCGACACTCGCGTACATACATATACAGTCGCGCTCGTACGTATTCCCCTTTTATCGGTATTATATGCGCGATCGTTATTCCGGCACGGCGCGACAGGAAATATGATAATCACCCGTATGGTCTAGGCTGTGTTTGATAATAACATGCTGCTAATATATGATAAGCCGCGCAAGTCTCCAGGCTGCTTTAAAGTAAGGCACGTCGGGCGAGTTAATCGTTGACGCCGTTGACGGATCGCGAGGAGCTTACACGACCACGGGGAGACGCGCAGAAAATGACACATGTGTCATTGTAGAATAACCTAGCGACGATCCCACTTCTTGGCCTTCGCGCGGACGAGCGTCCCATTTTTCACCGGTGTGCAACGAGAACGAATTCTGTCAGGTACGAATCCTACTTTATTGAAAGCTTTATTGATATCCGATATTTCCTCACAAGTGCCCGTGCCCTGTGTAATATCGCATTTTGCCAACCTTGAATAATACGCGCGTTTAACAAAATTTAATTTAAATCTACTTATTTAAAATATATAATTTTATGATATATCGTGAGACATTCCATGTGACACATAATTATATTTTTATTAGAAT